TAGGAGTTCTCTTAGGATAAGATCTTATTTTTCTTGTGTATAAATATCCCTTCCGTTTATTCAATTAATAAGAGGAAATTCAGATTATTCCAAACTTCATGGTATTAGAGCCCTAGGTTCTCTAAACCCTAATTTCTTAGCCGTCATCTCTAGCCGACCCTCACCATGGCTGAATCCGAGCAAACCTCCGGAGACTCCTCATCTTCTGTCTCTCAAAATGTTCCTTCCAATCCTCAGAACACAAATGACAATAATCTTACTCCCATCATCAGTCACAAACTTAATGGACACAACTATCTTCAATGGTCTCAGACCATGATGATGTTCATTAGTGGACGAAGCCATGACGACTATATCACCCCGGTGCCGCTGTCCAACCAGGCACGAGTGATCCTAAATTTAGGACATGGAGAGCAGAAAATAATATGGTCATGTCTTGGCTAATCAGTTCAATGATGACGGAAATAGGTGAGAATTTCCTTCTCTACACGACTGCCAAAGAAATCTGGGATGCAGTCCGTGACACCTTCTCTAGTAGTGAAAATACTGTTGAACTTTTCCATGTGGAGAGCATCCTCCAGGACCTACGCCAAGGAGATCAATCGGTAACCACCTACTTCACCACTTTGATGCGGTATTGGCAGCAGCTTGATTTATTCGAAACTCACGAGTGGAAGTGCTCGGATGACAGCAAATACTTCAAGAAAATAGTGGAGATCAAACGCATCTTCAAATTTCTAATGGGACTGGACAAATCTCTTGATGAAGTACGCAGACGGATTTTAGGCACCAAACCTATTCCGAGTCTTCGTGAAGTTTTCTTTGAAGTACGTCGGGAGGAAAGCCGCAAACGAATTATGATGGGACGATCCGATTCAATCCCTGATGGATCAACCCTTGCAGCAACCAAAGAAAATCAGTTCTCTTCAGAGCCAGCCGCCCTTGCTGTTCGCGGAATACCACAGAACTCCCGTCGAGGACGCCCCTGGTGTGACCACTGCAAGAAGCCAGGTCACTCAAAAGAAACATGTTGGAAGCTACACGGAAAACCCTCTGATTGGAAGCCAAGTCGTACCACTGGAGATCGTGAAAGCCGTGGAAATACTGCCGCTACAGAATCCACAAGGTCTCAAAGTCAGATTCCCTTCACTAAGGACCAACTGGAAATACTGCAGCAGCTGATCAACAAGGCACAAATCTCGGCTAATTCAGCAGCAGGGTCATCACAGGGCACGAGCAACCTTGCACTCCATGTAGCCAAGTCACCGTCACCTTGGATAGTCGACTCAGGAGCCTCCGACCACATGACAGGTGAAAGAATGTTATTCACAAGTTATATTCCATGTCAGGACTATCAAACTGTCCGAATAGCCAATGGTACACGTTCACGAGTTGCTGGAACAGGAACCATAAAGCTTTCAAAGACTCTTACCATCCACTCAGTATTATTTGTTCCTGACTTAGATTGTAACCTAATCTCTGTGAGCAAATTGACTAATGAACTCAACTGTGAGACTAAGTTTTTTGCTAAATCTTGTGTTTTTCAGGACTTGAGTTCGGGAAAGATGATTGGCAGTGCTGACCTATGTGCAGGCTTGTGCCTTCTCAACTCAGCCACCACCCCAGCTTGCTCCCAGGCCAA